GAAGCCGTGGTTTACAGTGAATTTATAACAGCTAAGGGGGTTTTAGGCACTCCGCTTCACCCCATAGCTGTTATAAATTCACTGTAAACCACGGCTTCTTGGGGCTTATTGCTTTATTATCACACTACAGAAAAATTATAAAGATAATCATGCTTAATGTTGATTCTGTATTAATCAGAATAGTTATTTTTTAACATTGATTCATGCGCTTGTTAAGGCCTAACTATTGCATTATAATTTGGCTACAGACATGCATTAGGGTTAGTTTATTATTATGATAAAATATGAATGTTTATAATTGTTTATTTTCTGTGTTGTTCGACAGGGGCCTCCAGGTTTACCCGGCCCATCGGTAAGATTCAAACCCGTCATCTGCACTCGTTAAACGTTTACACGTGTCATTATTTCACATAGGGCTGTGCAATTAATCGCATGCGATAGTCATGCGCATCTCGTCAGTAAAGCCGGTTCTATGATTAGTAGTAAATCTCCATCACCTGCTTTCAGATGGAGTGGCATTTAATACACAGAGCCGTAGTTCACTGACAAGCTAGGCAATATCGTGTTCATAATCGCAGATGAACCGCATTCGATTATGAACGCGATATTGCCTAATTGTCAGTGAACTACGGCTCTGTAGTAAATGTCGCTCCATCTGAGATTTACTACTAATCACGGAACCGGCTTTACTGACGAGATGTGCATGACTATCGCATGCGATTAATTGCACAGCCCTAATTTCACATTTACATTCATTAATTTGCAAGAAACTTTTATTTAATGCAAGTCTTGTTTTCCTGTGCAAATATCTAAACATTTTTAAATCAAGATGCATTTACTTGAGAAACAAAATGACTTAAGATATTAAGTCTTGTTTACTAAAAAAAAAAAAATCTCAAAATGAAGTGACTTTATCATTAAAACAAGAAAAAATATCTGCCAATGGAGCATGAAAAACAACAGCCACTGGCAGACATTTTTTCTTGATTTAAACATAAAGTCACTAAATTATGATCCATTTTTATTTCCAAAAACAAGACTGGCTATCTTTTGTAAGTTTGCATTTCAAGTAAATATGTGATGCTTTAAAGCAATAGTTCACCCAAAAATGAAAATTTAACAAGAATTTACACACACTCAGGCTATCCAAGATTATGATGAGTTTGTTTCTTCATCAGATTTGGAGAAATGTAGCATTGCATCACTTGCTCACCAATGGATGTGAATGGGTGCCGTCAGAACGAGAGTCCAAACAGCTGATAAAAACATCACAATAATCCACAAGTAATCCACAGCACTCCAGTCCATCAGGTAACATCTGGAGAAGACAAAAGCTGAAACAAATCCAGCATTAAGACGTTTTTAACTAAAATATGAGTCTATAATCCATAATAACACTTCCTCCAGTGAAAAAGTGTTCTGGTGTGAATCAGGAGAGAAATCTGCACAGATCAAGCAGCGTTTAAACAGCTCTAAACAAATATGTGGCTGGATTTTGATGTGAGAGACAACAGGAGATGCACTTTTTCACTGGAGGAAGCATTATTATGGATTATGGACTCATATTTTAGTTAAAAATGTCTTAATGCTGGATTAGTTTCAGCTTTTGTCTTCTCCAGATGTTAACTGATGGACTGGAGTGCTGTGAATTACTTGTGGATTATTGTGATGTTTTTGTCAGCTGTTTGGACTCTCGTTCTGACGGCACCCATTCACATCCATTGGTGAGCAAGTGATGGAATCATCTTAAATAAACCTGAATTGTGTAATCTTCAAGGACGCACACTACTGGAATAGAAAAGATGCGCTGTAAGGTTCTTTGAGGATGTTTCTTCATCCTCATTTTTTCTCGTCTCACAGATACGCATTAATACGGACGTTCAAGCGCGGATGGAGTCCAATGCACATCTAGAGCTGGAGGTGAAGACTTTGAGATTGCTTTCTGAAAGTTGATGGTGTGCTCTAATGAAGAACAACCAAAAATCTGTAACATATTTTATTCTTGCCGTCTTTGTTCTTGTTGGGTTCTCAGAGTTACCAGAACACCGACGCGTCTCTGTCGGAGCAGAGCGCTGAGATCTTCAGGACGCTGCAGTATCTGAGCAGCGTCATCGACAGCATGAAAACACCGCTGGGAACGAGAGAAAACCCGGCCCGCTTCTGCAGAGACCTGCTGGACTGCCGACACACGATGAGCGACGGTGAGATACACACCTGTTTAAACTAGGGTTGGGACAATAAATCGATGCATCGCGATTCGTGGATCGATTCTGAGATTTTCGGAATGCATCGTGATTCTCTCTGGAATCGATTCTGAGCTTAGTTTTTAACAGCAGATGGCGCTCTAGGCTAGTTTCTAAACCGCACACTCAAATGCTCACGAATAAGAGCGCTTGTGTGTTCGGCTGAGTAATGTAAGTGGTTAAATGTACCTGCACATCGGCTTTTATGCTTTTATGATGCAAGATTAATGTAAACACAGTCCACTGTGAACATCCTTGTAATTCGCTTCAACCTTTTCGAACTTTATGAATTATTATTTTAGGTTGAAATGGTGCGTATTGAAGCAAGCAGAATACAGCTGTTTCTAAAGCACGCTGTTAAAAACTAAGCTCAGAATCGATTCAAGAGAGAATCGCGATGCCTTCGGAAAATCTCAGAATCGATGCTGAATCGCGATGCATCGATTTATTTTCCCAGCCCTAGTTTAAACTAACCACAACCTCTCTGACTCGAAGCTGTGTTATTTTAGTAGCAAAGATACTAGTATAGTTTTATTAATACTTTCAGTTAGATTTTATTTTTATATTTTGTTTTCATTTTAATTTTAGTTAATATTTTAGTAATTTTCTTTGTCTTTTTAATTTTTTTAAATTTTTTTTAAATGTATCTACATAGTTTTTTATTAATTTTTATTTCAGTTTTAATTATTTTAGTACGTCAAATGAAATAAAAATGAGAAATGTTGCATTGGAAGCTTGCTGAAATAAATCAAGTTTTATTTTTTTAAATATATTTTATTATTTTATTTAAGTTAAAGTAAATTTTTTTAAGTAACATAATTTTGTTTATGGTCTTAGTTTTAGTTAATGATAATAACCCTGACTTAAAGGCACCCCGTTGTCCAACACAATATCTTCAGTATATGCTGATATTTGCAGTATTTAGCAGTAATGACAAAGCGGCTTGTTTTTAAACTTTTTAAAATCTGGGAGTATTGATATATTCAATTCATTAACCAAGATTCATTTCATGATTCCAAAAGTTTCAAGAAATATATGTCCTTCCATAAAAATAGTTATTAAGTGGGGGGTGTTTTCTTTTAGCCTTTTAATTTAGATTAAACTTAGATTATACACTACCGTTCAAATGTTTTGAATAAATAAGATCTTTGAATATTTTATAAATAAGTCTCTTCTGCTCACCAAGGCTGCATTTATTTGATCAAAAATACAGTAAAAATAGGAAATTTGTGAAATATTATTACAATTTTAAATAACTGTTTTCTATGTGAATATCTGCTAAACTGTAATTTATTTCTGTGATGCAGCGCTGAATTTTCAGCATCATTACTCCAGTCTTCAGTGTCACATGATCTTCAGAAAACATTCTAATATGCTGATTTGCTACGCATGAATCAATAATCTGATTATTATCAATGTTGAAAACAGCTGTGCTGCTTCAGATTTTTGTGAAAACCGTAATATGAAATATTCCAGACTTTTGACTGGTCGTGTAATTAATACTAATGTATTATTTTAAATACTTTTTAATCATCTTGAGGTGCATTAAGTCATTCACTCATCCATCCACTGATGGTTTCTACAGCTCACTGACTGAGTGTTTTGTCGTATCTGTGTTGATCAGGATTGTTCTGGATCGATCCAAATCTGGGCTGCACGTCTGACGCCATCCAGGTGTTCTGTAACTTCACGGCAGGAGGACAGACCTGCTTAAACCCTGTTATAACGGATAAGGTACTGTGATATACATACTACCATTGCTATTACTGTACATACTGTACAGCTGACACATGCATATAAACACAGATGAGAACCAGGGTTACTCTCTTCAACCTAGAGTTATTATAATAAACTAAAACTAAAATTAAAACAAAACAAAAAAAAATGTGTTATTTGAAATAAAATAAACGTTTACTGAAATAAGATAAAGTATAAAAAAAACTTTAATTCTAACTAGCTGCCAAAGTAAAATTTCTCATTTTAATGCAGTTTAACTAGATGTACTAACATAACAAAACCTAAATTAAAATTAATAAAAAACTATACAGACATAACTTGGAACAGGGCGTTACGGAAGCTCCAACCTTCCCGAAGGAGGTTTCGGAGGCAATACACATATGGACATTCCTTAGGTGCATATGGAAGAATTGAGGTGATTGTAACCCTCTTGGAACTGGCAGAAGTCTGCCGGGGAAACACGGGCTCAAGGCTATACCGTGGACTTTACACATATGAGATCCACTTGGGTCTTACATATGGAACCCAGCCTTCTACCGGTTCTCGAGGATTCAGCGAGTGAAGTGCGCTGCATCTGCTGCCTACTTATACTCACGCTGTGATCAGCAGCAGCTGGATGCAATAATCGCATGCCAATGTGCATTGGCTCGTTTAGTTTACACTCGAAGTGGATTGGTCTCTCTAAGCGAGATCCCAATTTCGTCGGTCATCCGACGTGACGTCGAGAGTGACCGACTGAAAGGGAACAAAAACTACAAACACATAACAAAATTACTAAAGCTTTAAAATAAAAAAGAAAACTGGAAATATAATAGTCTCTCAATGTTACTAAATTAAAACCGTCGCAACTAAAACCATTTTAATAAAAAAAAATCATTACTTGAAATAAAATAAACATGAACTGAAATAAAATATAAAAAATAAACGTTAATAATTTCAACTAGTTGCCAATGCAACACAAGTGCTAACTAAAACTAAAAACTATGTAGATATATTTTAAAAGAAAACTGTTAAAAATGACAAAAAACAAAATTAATTAACTTGAACTTAAACTGAAATAAAAATGATTAATTAGAATTATAGAATTAATTTATTTAATTAAATTAATTCTATATAGGCATATATAAAAACAAAAACTACTGAAAATGACAAAAACACATAACAAAATTGCTAAAAGTTGAACTAAAATTTAAAAAATTATTTTTAATGAAATTAACATTACTGAAATCAATTATTTTAAAAACATGTGAATCAATTAGTTGCCAAGGCAACATTTCTCTCTTTCATTAAGTTAAGTTGAAATACTAAAATAACTAGATATATTTAAAACAAAAACTAATAAAAATAATAGAAAAATATATTTTTTTAAACTTCAACTACGAATATAAATCCCATTGTCATTTGTCCAAAACGAAAATTATTTGTCTCTCATTTTAAAAAAAAAGTGCACACATTTTAACTAAAATTAAAATGAAAAGTGAAAAAAAATGAGATATTAAAAATGACACTGTAAGAATCAATCAAAATAGTTTATTTTGTAAAGCCACTCTGTGAAGATATTGAGTGTTTATGATGAACTCCCACATTTTATTTGGCAATTCTGGACATTCAATGGCATTATTTCCGTGAAGCTTTGGTTAAACCTGCTGAGGTTTTACTGTAAAAACGAGTCCAGATGTATGACACACTGAACATGATTCGACGGGTTCATGCAATCACGGACAAACTAAAGAGAAAATAAATGAGAAGCATTTGATGTCAAGCTGCGACATCGCATTTCCTCTGAAAGGCAAATCTGATTTGAATTAAAAGCTGATTTCCTGTAAACCTGATCGTTTGTCAGCTTCAGCCGTAAACATACAGTTGCCAAAACGCAGAAATGTTGATTATCTAAACACTGAGTTTACAAAGCTGGATGTTTGACTTCACAGGCCACGTTTGATGTCGGGAAAGTCCAGATGAAGTTCTTACACTTGCTGAGCGTCACGGCGACCCAAACCGTGTCCCTCCACTGCTTCAGCAACCCGGCGATGGTTGCCATGGAGACGCCTCGGGCCCTGCATTTCCGGGGTTGGAAGGGCCAGGTGTTCGAGGAAAACTCGCCTCGGAGTCCACATGTGGCTCTGGACGACTGTGAGGTGAGCCGAGTCTGGGTTAAAGGGATAGTTCACCCAAAAGTGAAAATGTCACCATTTTTAGCTGAAACTGTGGCCCTTGGTGATTCAAAGTCAATAGCTCCCGTCACTTTGAGAGTCAAAAAAGCACACACAGGCAACACAAAATTAACATCCGTGGCTCCTGACGATATATTGAGGTCTTATGAAGCGAAACGATCGGTCTGTGCAAAACCATGAACATTATTTACAGCATTATTACCTGTGATCCAGAGCCTCAGGTAAACGATCCGGAGTGAATCATTCTTTGGTTCGAGAACGAATCATTCTTTTGAACCGGTTCTTTTTCTAAATCAGACTGAATCTTCGAGCAGTACAGATCTATAAGTTACTCGATCAAACTCACTTTCAGACGCCTGACAGTCACTGCGACTTGAAATGAGCCAAAATAGCGGCGTATCTGATTCTATGATGAATGAACTGATTCAGTGCTTCAGTTCGGTCGCTGATTCAGTGCTTCAGTTCAGTCGCTGATTCAGTGCTTCAGTTCAGTCGCTGATTCAGTGCTTCAGTTCAGTCACTTTCAGACGCCTGACATTCCGTCGCTGATTCAGTGCTTCAGTTCAGGTGCTGATTCAGTGCTTCAGTTCAGTCGCTGATTCAGTGCTTCAGTTCAGTCGCTGATTCAGTGCTTCAGTTCAGTCACTGATTCAGCGCTTCAGTTCAGTCACTGAACTGAGGAACCGAAGCCCGATGAGCCGCTGATATGCGCATGTGTGAACCAAACACTTGAATGAAGGGGTGAAATGAACGTTTTTATGATTTCTCACTGTTTATGTAAAAAAATGAGCTGATGAAGATTAGTTTATTCACTTTATCTGATTTAGGCACTTAAAACTTACTTGTTTCGCATCATTATTGCGTGTTTTAATAATATAATTGTATATACGTTACGTCATTTTGTGATTACGTAAACAAACTAGTGAATTAAACCAGTTCATTAAAGGGACAGTTCACCCAAAAATGAAAATTCTGTCATTAATTACTCACCCTCATGTCATTCCAAACCTGTAAGACCTTCGTTCATCTTCAGAACACAAATTAAGATATTTTTGATGAAATCCGAGAGCTTTCTGACAGCAAGGGTCCTTACACGATCAAGGTCCAGAAAGGTACCAAGAACATTGCTAAAATAGTCAATTTGACGTCAGTGGTTCAACCGTAATTTTATGAAGCTACGAGAATACTTTTTGTGCGCAAAAAAAACTAAGATAATGACTTTATTCAACAATTCTTCTCCCCTGAGTAACCATCTGCCGCCATTATGAGTACCACGACGTTAATTTTAAAGGATTTGTGTCTAAAAGAATATTATTTATAATGCTTGTGTTTTCTTTCTTTCTTTATTTTTGAATGTACACTCAAGAAAATGTTAAGATTTATGTATTTTAATTGTATATAAAATGTACATCCATTTGGATTGCACAGCTTTACCATAAACAACTTAATAAACCCAATATGATTCATATTTATCGGTCCATAAATAAATGAAACGGGTCCGATTTCTGTAATAGTAATAATCAACTGAATGTGTTTTAAACACAATAACCAGCTTTATATATTTATCATCAATAAATTAAATTTGTTTCAATCTCATACATTTTAGAGCTCTCATTAAATATTGCTTGTTCCAGAACTAGTCATATTTTGCCATGTTCATACTTTTTAATGGAATAAATGCAATTGTTTTCACGATAGATTTATGCTGATTCTAATAAACACATTTTGAAAATCTGATTATTTCAATCAAATCAAATAGATGCATATGGTTAATAATAAACTATACCATGATGTTTTTGAGTGCAGAAATCTGACCCATTTCATTTATGCATGACTGACAAATATGAATCTCAAGTTTATTAGTTTTTTAAAAACTGTGTAATAAAAATGTATGCTGTTAATAGTACATGCAGTTCATATACATACATTTTAAATTTAGGCCTAATATTTTGGGGGGTATAATACAAAAAGATAGATTTATCTGTATTTTTTTCTATTGACAATGCAATTTTGACCCAGTGCGACCTATTTTCCAGAAAATGTATCTAGATGTTTGCCTGTTTTTCTGAACAGATCCGTGATGGCAGCTGGCACCAGTCGCGATTCCTGTTTCAAACCCAGGACACTCAGCAGCTTCCCATCGTGGACATTCAAGGTCTCCATCCCTCACGTCCAGGAGACCAGCGGCACGTGGAAGTGGGTCCTGTTTGCTTCCTGTGAAATCACTGAAGGACTTGAAACGGTCCTGATCCTCAAATCAGAGCAGCGGCGATCTGAGCGATGGCAGCGATCCTGGGACGTCCCGAAGAACAAGCGCGTCTCCAACCCGAGTGTTTTGAGAGACTGCTGTTGTGTTTTATCTGTTGTGGTTCAGTATGTCAGAAAGTCTCGGGCGAAGTCCTTGCGGATCGAATCATTGCTAGATAAACTGTCAGACGAGGTTGATCTTGTTAGCAAACTATGAAAAGGCCGACCTGGACTCTTTAGACGGTGCTCTACCTCCTTCACGTACAGGTGCTCGCGTTCAGGTGCATCCGGCCCGAAACAAACTCTACGCAAGTACACAAATGCAAACTCCGTTTGGTGCATCATTGTGTTTTGCAATTTGTCTTCTACAGTCAGTTTTTCTTTTACATCACGGTGGAGGCGCAGTTTAAAGGCAGTCTTGCTAAGCAAGTTAGATAAAGTTAGAGTAGTTAATCCATAGACGATTTTTATAAGAACACTATGTTTCCCTTCACGTGTTTTTAAAGGAATTTTGGAGTATTGCATAAAAACGCCAACCAATAAGTGCATAAAATCTTAAAAAATTGGGGCATGATATAAAAAACATTTGATGGAAGTGTCGAGATGTGCATATAATCTTTAACATTTTGATGGAAATGCCAGTTAAGTGCATGGAATCTTAAATAAATTGGGGTTTCACATAAAAAAAAATGCTGAATAAAAATGCCAAGAAGCACATAAAATTGTAAAAATTGTGGTATCATATGAAACACACTGAATAGAAACACCAAGAAGTGCATAACATTTTTTAAATTGGGGTATCACATAAAAAACACATTAAATAAAAAAGGGGGGGGTTTACATTAAAAAATCCAGATGAAAACACCAAGAAGCGCATAAAAATCTGAAAATTTTGGGGAATGACAAAAAATCTTCATGGAAACGCCAAGAAGTCCATGAATTCGTAAACATATTGGGGTTTTGCATAAAAGCACTGGATGGAAATGGCAAAAAATGCATAAAATCGTGAAAAATTGGGGTTTTGCATAAAAAATGCTGAATGGACATGGCAAAAATGCGTAAAATCTTAAAAGAAATTGGGGTTTCACATTAAAAAAATGCTGAATAGAAATGCCAAGAAGCGCATAAAATTGTAAAAATTGTGCTATCGTATGAAACACGCTGAATAGAAACACCAAGAAGTGCATAACATTTTTAAAATTGGGGTATCACATAAAAATAAAAATAAAACACTGGATGGAAAAGCCAGAAATCGCATTAAATTCTAAAAAAAAAAAAAAGGGAGGGGGGGTGATACATTAAAAAATCCAGATGAAAACACCAAGAACTGCATGAATTTGTAAAAATATTGGGGTTTTGCATAAAAGCACTGGATGGAAATGGCAAAAATGCGTAAAATCTTAAAAGAAATTGGGGTTTCACATTAAAAAAAGTGCTGGATGGAAATGCCAAGAAGTGCATTTAAATCTTATAAATCATAAAAATGTATTGAGGTGGCTACTTTATTGTTCGGTAAGAAAACATGCACATAAACTACGATGGAAACACATTTACAGCAACTTTTTATTATTTTATTACTGATACTTTGCGCCAGATTCTCAGGAAGTGAAGATTTTGTTTGCTTAAACATATGGTATAGAAACTGCATTTTATTCACAAATGTTTCATGCGATATTTGAATTTTTTTGCAAGTTTTAGATGGAAACAGCTACAGACCGAGACATTTGTAGGAAACACTTTGAGCACCTCAGAAACACAAGGATGCATCATGTTATGCACATCAGTCAGTCGTTTGCATTGGTGTATTTGCGTGCAGTATGTTTCTGGCCGTAAGTTGTTTGTTTGTGCTGGCTATTTCTTTTGTACTTTTGCATTTGGTCATTTCGATCACAACAAACCTAATTTATATGAACAGTGTGTTGATAAGTTATGTTACACATCGGCTTAATATACTTTATACGTTAAAGAGAACGTTCGCTCGTGACCCTTAAAGAGACGCCACGAGTATCTCACATACATGAAATCGAAGAACAAGGATTTTTTTGTGACATTGTTATTTGAAACCATTTTAAATGTTCACATGCTTTACAAGAAATCTTATGAGATATCCGTGACATCTTTTTTCTCAGAATTGTGAGATAAAAAGTCACAATTACTGCAATTCGGTGGTGGAAACGTGCTTCCATAAGGTCAGGGTCAGTCGACTTCTCCGTGGTGCTGCCGTATTCAGCGTTAGCAATGAGTTAGTCATTTTTTATTTTCCCCTTATGTATATTTGGACATTATATGTTTGTTTATTTATGTTATCTTTTTATTTCTCCAAAATTACTGTACTCCAATAAATTATATCTCTCAGAGATCTCTCTGGTCGCTCACCATTTAGTTCGAAATCTTATTTATGTCAAATTTGTATTTGTATATAAACACAAATATGGGAGTATATGTTGTTCTGGCAGCTGCGATTGGCCAGATTCAGATCACATGATCACACACAGGAAGTGTAACACCTGTTAACTTATGATTACAGTATCAAAACTGTTACTAAATGTGCCTACAGAAACAAAACAAAGACGAAAAATGTAAATATTTAATATTTTGACATTAAATAAAATGTATGGTTTAATCCCAATGTTCTCATGAGTTATTTAATTCTATGAATAAAAATGGCCTTTTTGTCATGGTGTCTGTCTACATATAACCAACACTGAATATACTTAGATCCTATTTTCCTTTAAAATAATAAAATATTCACCATATTATATATATATATTAAAAAAAAACATTTGAACCTCTAACACTATTCGTTTCCCAGTCACCACATTTATAAAATGATAAAGCCAAAGCAATAATGTTACCGATGTTACCATAACTGTAGTTTTTGCTTTGATGTCATTTATAAAAAAAAGAAGGTGGCTGAAATATGAAGAGCTCAGAAGAGCTTTTTTTTTTGCAAATATTAAGTAAACATTCAGTCTCCTCCACTGACCAGTTCGTAATATGTAAATAACTCATGTACTGTAAACATATGCATCAGGCCACTGTGCAATATGCAAGCCATTTTTAAACCCAACTGAGAAAGTCTGATTTATGTATTTGCATGCAGGTTCACACAATCACTTCCAATCTGATCACTATTTCAGCATATTATATATATATATATAAAAAAAAAACATTTGAACCTCTAACACTATTCGTTTTCTAACTGCTTATTTTCTTTAAACAAGTCTTCTAACACTAGTTCCCTATTATTTTTCTATTCTATCTACTTGTTTTCTTTTTATTATATATATATATATATATAAGTATGGAGTGCCACAAGGATCTGTCTTAGGCCCTCTGCTATTTTCAATATACACGGTTAGTCTGTTCCTCCGCTTTTCGCGTCTTCAGCCATGTTTACGTGACACTGTCAGTACTGGCCTAGCTCGCTATGATATTAACTGAAATAAGCGAAAAAAGTATGATGTTTACAAATACAATATCCTTATTTCCATTCCAAAGATAACTGCTTTCCACGTCGAAACATCCAACACAAATCTACGAACATATTCAGGTGAGGTAATCGGTTTAACGTTACTGCTAACTAGTGAAAACACTCCATTAATATGAAATGCAGCTCAAAATACATGCTAGATGGAAACATTGTGCATTATGATCGAGTTTGTAACTTAATTCACTATATTTTAAATAGTTTGAGCACTGCAGTTCATGAGTTCAATAGGAAATCAGAAAGCATCCAGTCATCTCAAACCATTCAAGTGAAAATTTCTCAGTGTATTGTAATACATATTTGAGAAATTATTGTTGTATCCGATTGTTTTAGTCTAGAAGTGTAAAAAGAGCAAATGGGAGAAGCAGATGAACACAAAACAGCAGGGATTTGATTTTGACATTGGTAGGGACATAACTGCAGACATCCCAACATACTCATAATTAATAAAGACAGCTTTTTATATTAGCATCAAAGCTGGGTGTCTTAATTACGCCGTGTATCATTTTATTTTAATGTTAAAAATGAATTGGACCAGTGATGATTCTGACAGAAAACTCGCTTGGGACCCAAACACAACCTACACAAGCATCTGACTGATAGATAAACCACACATTTCAGTGTTGTTTTTTATTTTGTGGATATTTCAGCTGACAGTTTTGTACATTCAGTTTACCAACATAAGCACTCCGACTGCAGAAAACTGTCGTAAAGAGAGCGCAGAAGACGGCAGACGCGTGTGGAGCGCAGCACAAGTGGTCGGTGTTTTGGTCAGAGAGTATCGAATTAATCCATGTTAAAACTCTCCTGTGTTGATGTGGTGAATATGTTACCTGTTATGGACAGCAACGATAAAGCAGATGATGGTCGGAGAGGAGTTAAGCGCAAGATGGCTTTGTCCAGGTCAGTTACTGTAGTCTAAACATGTAAACAGGGTAAAATCACAGTGATTGTGTAGGTCTGTTTACATCTGTGTCGCGTTTCTGCTAGTCTTGTATACATTCGCTTGTGTAACGTCAAATTCAGCTAAAACATCTGTTTACAGTTAGAAATAATATCAGCAACGTATAATTCAGTACTGTAGTATATTTAACTTACCATGGTATTTACCATTCCATCGCTGTAAAAAGAAATTATTACTCTTGCTATTATTTTTTTATGCACATTATTGTATTCTGTATGTATCAGCATTGTGTCGACTTATTTATAATGACATTTAACTTTATTTGTCATGACATTTAAAAACCTGTATTTATTGATTTATTGATAAATTGCATATGACTTCTTCAGCTGTGACATCTGTGAGACTAAAGAGGCCAAATACAGATGTCCGAGCTGCATGAGACACACCTGCAGGTAACACACACACACACACACCTGGATGTAACTTTACTCCGGTTTATTGTACACTATTAATGACAATCAGTGTAATGATGTTGTGAAGTCATGCATCACTGTAGTCAGTGTTAATGCTGTGATCAGACCCCTGTTTATAATTGATCTATTATTTAAAGGGACGGTACACCCAAAAATGAAAATAAGACCGTAAGACCTCCGTTCATCTTCAGAACACAAATTAAGATATTTTTGATGAAATCTGAGAGCTCTCTGACTGTAATGTTCCCAGGTCCAGAAACATCCATAACGTGTAAAGCAGTCCATGTGACTTCAGTGGCGCAACTTCAATTTTGAGAAGCTACGAGAGTACTTTTTGTGCGCGAAGAAAACAAAAATAACAATTTATTCAACAATTCTTCTCCCCCCCGAGTTACGTCTTCCGCCGTTTTGGTGTTAGTACTGCGATCGAACCTCTGAGTTATAATAAGTTTTGACAAATTAATAACAGTACAACTTTCTTCAAGTGTGTATTTAGTGTTGTTTGTTTATTGTTTGGTTTTCTGTGTAGTTTGGCTTGCGTCAAGCAGCACAAGATTCTGTCGGGATGCTGTGGTGTTCGGGACAAGACGGCGTTTTTCCCTCTCGCTGAATTGAATGAAATCAGCCTGCTCAGCGGTGAGTAGCCTATCTGCTCCGTCTTTACAGAAACAGCTGAATGGATGTGATCACTGAGGTGCTGTGGTGTAGATTACAGGTTTCTGGAGGACACGGCTCGACTGTCACAGCAGTCCAACAGAGACGCCGTCATGCTCGGCAGCCATCGACACCTGAAGGAGGTGAGGCCTGTGAAGATCTGATCCTGATGCACACATCAAAACCAGGTGCAAACATGGGCTCTGTTTCTTCCTGTCTATTTAAGGGCATGTGGATGATCAGAAAAGCCAGAGCAGTCAAAGTCACCCTGAAGTTTCTGCCCAAAGTGTTCAGCAAACACCGGGAGAACCGCACCATCTTCAGAAGAGCGTAAGTCTCTGGGTTTATGAATATTTGTCTTTAGGTTTCATTGAGTTGACAGGGAAGAGTCCCAATATCTGTACCACGTTCTTATAATGTCAAATATAAAACTAATTCAAGAAAATCTTGCGTTAAGATAAATTCTAAGCAGCTCCTAAGAAACTTCCTAGATACAAGTTCTCAAATATTCTCTTCCTGTATATTCGTTTGTAATACTATTAACATTGAATATTATTAATATAACAACATTAAATTACTATCTATTATTTAATATCTAATTATTAAAGTGTGTGCGTCATGTAGTCATCTTATTTTCTTAAGAAGAAAATAATTTAACAATTTTAAGAATTATTTTAATAATTAAAAAGTGATAAATAATTTATTAATATTTTAATAATAATTTAATATTTGGGTATTTTATACTATTTTACCGAAGACTTGCTTATCAGTTTAATGAAAAACATCTCATCGTATTAATCATAATAAGCCATAATAATCATAAGAACGCACTGCGACTGTCTTGACGAGAAGAACATTCTTAAGAAAT